GGCATCCCGTCAAGATAAACAGTCGCCCAGAGAGCCGCTGTTCCTTTGAGACATTCATTGATAAGGATCGTTGCACGTGCAAGGTTGACCAACTTGCGCCGCCATCAGGACAGCGTTAAGCAACACAGGAAAGGGTGAACCGGTTCGTTGCCTTCTCGACCTCTAAATCGGTCTTGATTGTGTAATGAGCCACTGTACGCTAGCCAAGAAATGCTGAGGTGGTGATCGCAGATCGGCATTCAAGGCTCCTTTCCTGTTCCAAATCTTACTTTGATTCGACCTCCTTTCAATAAACCCAGCAAACGCTAAACAGCGTACCTTGGCAAGGTGAAGCAGGAAAGGAAAGGAAATTAAAGAAGCGGGTACACACTTTGGGAGTTCAGTGCCTCTTACAAACTGCGTCTGCGCACTGGAGTGAAGCACCGACAAAGAGCATTTCAGAAGAGTGCGCCATACACATAGGTGGTGCGAAACATTGTCGACGCTGTTCGGGCACAATGATTTGTCTCGTTTTCATTATAGGCTGCCTCCTGGCAGTCGTCTCGGCCGGTGATGTACCACAGGCATACACAGAGACGGGCCTCATTTCCGGAGAACGGTTAACAGTCAACAAACGCCAAGTGGACGCCTTCTTAGGGATCCCGTACGCTACGCCTCCACTGGGAGATCTACGCTTCAGGAAACCGGAGCCCGCAAAGCCCTGGAAAGGAATTCTCAGCGCTACGAAAAAGCCGCTTCCTTGCGTCCAGACGGATTTGCCACTGGCAGATAAGCTTCCGTTCAATTATTCCGGTTCAAACGAGGACTGTCTTTACCTCAATGTATGGAGGCCGTCGAAGTACTGCGCCACATCGTCACCCAAATGCAGTGCCATGCTGCCTGTCGTAGTCTTCGTACATGGAGGTGGTTTTCAGTGGGGAGATTCAGCGCTATTTTTGTACGATGGAAGCAACCTCGCGCCAACCGCAGACGTAGTTTTTGTGACATTCAACTACAGAGTCAACATCTTCGGTTTCCTCTCGCTGGAAAACAGCGAACTTCAAGGAAACATGGGACTCTGGGACCAAAACCTTGTACTCAAGTGGGTTCGCGCCAATATCGCTTACTTTGGGGGCGACGCCAGCGATGTAACTCTTTGGGGACAGAGCGCAGGAGGAGCGTCGGTTGGCTTTCACGCTGTTTCGCCGCACAGCAAAGGATTGTTTAAGCGGATCATAATGCAGAGTGGAACACCTGCGCTCACAATCCTCAACGTGTCTCACAGAAGGGCCGCCAGGATTACGGCCATCGCGGACGCCGTCGGGTGCTATGACCGCCGGCGCACTTTGATGGATCAGGTCAAAGATCTACTGTCCTGCATGAAACGGGTGGACGCGCGCAAGATACTCGACGCCGTCAGTGCTGAGAAGCCGCTCAACCAGTTCTATCCACCCACACATGGCGATGACTTCCTTCCTAGCGACCCGCTGTCCGATGACACTTGGAATCACTTGAACACCAAGGAGCTGTTCACAGGACACACGGCCAACGAGGGCAACTTCCTTATGCGCAACATACGTCGTTCGGCTCCTGTACTGGAGAACATCCTGAGTGAAGACTATCGCTTCATCACGACTGTCGTTTTGTCGGTAATGTTCCAGATACCCGTGTCCTCTGGCAGGCAGATCGTGAAGGAGTACTTTGGTGACTACAACGAGAAGCACAAGAAGAAGAAGGTGCTCGAGATCCTGGACGACATGTTCGGTGACGTTGTTTTCAACTGCCCGACAATGTTCTTCGCGGAGAAGGCATCCAAGCAAGGCATCGATACGTACGCTTACATCTTTGCCCATCTTCCCTCCACATCTCCGTGGCCTAATCCAAGAGGTCCGACGCATGCGGACGATATTCCTTTCATGATGGGCTCCCTAGACTTTGTCGCTGATCCGTCGAAGTTTACAGACGCCGTGACAGAGAAAACCAGGCAGCGTCTCGCTATTGGTGCTGCAAGGATCACCCCTGAAGAGCGTCAACTTGCCGGACAACTGCAGGAGATGCTGTCGGCGTACTTCAGAACAGGGTATGGTGAAATTGAGACAAAACGGCTATTAACACTTTTAATATGGTTAGAAAATATGCAAATTTTCAATAGTATTGTGATAAAAAGTGTTCTTGGGCTTTCTTTCTAAGTGTGCGAGGTTTTTCTCGACCATGGAGTGAGGTTTTAAGCTTCCTTGCAGAAACTGAAGAAGCCATCATAACATCTTCCGGGGAGCTAGGGCCGAGTCTCCATTCTCACGCTGTTGTTTGACACAAGAAGCGTCGGCTGTTTCTATTCGCCGTTCCTAGTTGCTAGTAATGTAAAGTGTACGCTTGATGACTCCAGATGCTTTAATGAAAAGGGATGGTGTTGGGAGGGGGGCGGCAGTATTTTGACATGTGTTTGGCTGGCATAATCGATAATCAACATCTTTGTTTACAGAAATTCGGAAAGCCAGTGATTATTTCCAAGCAAATAGCTTCCGCATGACGGGGACCGTGAATCATTTATGTTGCGTGGTCGCCACGCATAAGTAATTAATGATTTTCGACATGCTTCTCTTGCTCTTCTTACATCATCCATTCAAATGTGACCATGGCAACCGAGTGCACAGGACGTGGAACGGTCGCTGCGACTGAGTTTGCGTAGAACGGATGCTCAGTGTGCGTGTGTTGCTCGAGAGAAGTGCTCCTGCATGCTTTCTGACAGAGAAAACAAAACGTCAATGATTTGAAGCTTTAGCGCCTCAGTCCACGCAGCATGTTTTATTCGGTAACATGTTGCAGTTGCAGGTGGATATGCATATGCGTCATAACCTGTCTTTTTAAGTATAGTCATGCCTTCCCTGTAGTTCAAATTCACACAGGGCATATTCAGGGAAAACGAATTTTAACCGACTACGCTGACGTGGACGCCTTTCTCGGAATACCGTACGCACAGCCTCCAGTAGGGGACCTTCGTCTGTCTAGGCCCCAGCCTGCGAAAGCGTGGAACGGAACTTACGTTGCGACCGAGTTTCCAACTCCATGCTTCCAGCCAGACCAGGTACTCAACGAAGACGCGCGGCTCAACTATTCGTCTTCATCGGAAGACTGCCTCTACATCAACGTGTGGCGGCCAGCCAGTGCTTGCGCTAACGAATCGGTTTGCGAGACAGTGAACCTTCCCGTGCTGGTGTTTCTGTACGGCGGTGGTTTCCAGTTCGGCGATTCTGGACTGCGCGTCTACGACGGCACCAACTTCGTGGCGCGCACGAACACACTCTTTGTCAGTCTGAATTACCGCGTGTACTTTTACGGTTTCCTCTCCGCAGAACGTCCAGCGCTTCCGGGGAACATGGGCCTCTGGGATCAGCTCATGGCGCTCAAGTGGGTCAACCGCAATATACGTCGTTTAGGCGGCAACGAACGAGACGTGACGCTCAGCGGCCACAGCGCGGGTGCAATAGCTGCAGGGCTGCACGCCCTTTCGCCCCAGAGTCGGGGACTCTTCACGAGGCTGATCTTACAGAGTGGGACTCCACTCACGATGATCGTTGGGCTGTCATACAGCGGGATCAGTAAGTTCATCAACACTGCGGTCACCTTGGGCTGCTATGATACCGGCCGAAGTCTGGACGCGCAGATTAGCAACGTCATCGACTGCCTGAAGCGCCTCGACCACGTCTCGCTCCGCACAAGGATGGCGGCTGTGGACGTCAAACGTCAAATGTTCCTTCCCGTGTACGGTGACGACATGCTGCCTTTCGATCCCTTAAACGGGAGGAACATAGAACTACTACACGTCAAAGAAATGTTCCTCGGAACTGTGCGTGACGAAGGAAGCTTCATCGTGTACGCTCTTCGTGCCGCCATGCCTTACCTGATGCACTTCTTGCACCTCGACTACAGGCTGGCCGTGACCGTGGGGCTCAAGTTTGCGTTCGACATTCCTACACACAATGGAAAGAGTATAGTCCAGGCCTACTTCGGAGATTATAGTGTCACGCACGATGACGAGACGATTGTGGATATTCTTTCGAAGCTGATAGGTGACGCAATGTTTGACTGCCCGACGAACCTGTTCGCCATGAAGGCGGCAGAGCTGGGCACTGACACGTACCGCTACCTGTTCGCGCACAAGCCTTCGTACAGTTTCTGGCCCGACTGGGCTGGCATCGCTCACGGCTGCGAGTTGCCGTTTACTCTGGGGTCGCTGAGGTCGTTCAAAAGCGAGCCTCGGTTCACTTCGCCCAGTGGAAAGTACGGAGATGAAATGAGGAATACCGAGGCATCGCAGGAAGATGAGAGTTTTATGGAAGAGCTGCTGCAAATATGGTCTGCCTTCGTTCGTGACGGGTATGTGAGGGAGAGTGGCGTTGCTGCGAAAGTATCGGTGTGATTAATGTTTAAATGAAGAAAATACTTGAAATAACCTGCCGCCTGTCAAGCGCCGTCCTACTTTGCACTAGTTATATGGTACTCTATAGTGTGAGTGTGTTAAAAACACTACTGACCGAAACACTCTGAAATAATGTAATCAGTTGCTGTTTGGGTGGGTGGGGGAGTAGGGGGTGGTGGAAAACCGTTAGTAGTACTGTTATGTAATTCTCCATTGCGAAAGGATTTCTAGCATAATCATGAAAATACACACTGTATAAACAGCCAATTGCTAAAAAGAATGCAGCCTCACATGATGGTGAATGGACCTCGCAGGCGTAGTCGCTGACACAGCCAACAAATCTCGTAAGTGCCTAAATGAAAATCCAACTCCGTTTCGGGTGAGCTTGGCCTACAAGAGGTTCACTTTCATGACTAAAACATCGAAATAGGACTGTAGGTAGTTCTTAGACAGCTTTTCTTTTCACAAGTTTGAAAGCGTGGAACTTGGAATTACCGCAAAGACGAGTATATAAACATAGCGCACTACCATGTGATTTTCTATCAAGTGAAGACTCAATAAGAATGCTTAAGTACAACTAGTATACATTTCCTTTTATTAGGAGGCCAAAGATTCCCCTGTCGGACGCTGAGTGGCCCAAGTACACGGCCGAAAACCCGGAGTTCGTGTACCTGCAGCCCAGCAACTACACCCGAGGCTTCGGCCCTAAGAAGGAGCGCTGCGAATATTGGAGACCATTTCTTCTCAAGCAGTGAGTGTTAGCCGTTGTGTCGATACTATGCTCAACGGCATTGCAGTGATGATGCCGTCTGGCGTTGTGGGCATGAATGAGGGTACCTGCTGCTAATTTACTTACTAGAAATAAAATGCATTTTTTCTATGAAAAAGTACTACTTGATGTTTAGTATGTTGTTCCCACACTAGCAATTAAAGTAAGGCTCGGGTATTGTATGATTGGGGTGTAGTTTTGTGGGCAGAACCCCATTACAAGTGCTACCGTTAGCGTACGTAGTCCTACTTTCGCTCATTGTGCCACTGCCCTCACTGCAGCGTGAAGAAGCTCTCGAGCTGCGGAAGACAAGAAATTACCTAATAAGGCGCCATACTTTTATGTGTGCTGCGTTAAAACGAGAACTTTAGAACTAATCTATTTCGGGACCATATATATGTATGTATATCGTTTTTCTTTCGTAAACTTTATTTTTATAATACTAGCCCAGTGGAACGGTGTAACTGTTGTGAAGAAATTGTGACAATTCCTTCAGTCATTTGTTTCAACGTGAAGAATGGTGAGAGTAAAATCGCCACCTCCCCACCCTAATCTTTTCGTTGCTGTGAGCCCCTTAGGAACAGTAATCAGTGCATTGACTCTTCAAAATAAAATAAATAAATAAAAGAAGTTATGTACTCGCGAAGAGGGAGGGTCAGGACACGTCTTTGCTGCACCGTATAAAGCAATCAAACCAGTTGCAATATGTGAAATGTGAGGCTGTTCTGTATGTGCAGGAGTAAAGGCGCATCGGCCGAGCAGTCATCGTTGCAGTCCGATACGTCGTCCACAGGGTCACCACAACCCGCCAAGTCAACACGGTCGGTCGCACCAGAGGCCGCTCCCAAGAGTGACGTCAGACTGGAGCTGTATTCTAGCTCGTACACTCTCGAGCCTTCCACCGTGCTATTCACCCTCTTCGCTTTCATCATATGGATTTGCATGGGGTAGTTAGATCCCTTGGTAGAGCCGGACATCGTTTTTTTTAGTCAAGTACTATAGGGTCTACAATCATCGTCTACGACATCAAATTCACCATTTTCATTTTTGTTTTGCTAAACCAACAATACAGTGAGACAGCATGTCGCAGTTTGCAAAAGATACTATTTGCCCTTACTAGTGCACAAAAAACTCCATTTAGCGAGTTTTCCCACAATTAATAGGAGTATGCCGATGTAGTGTTTAAACAATTCAGGAAGGTTGAGGTTTATTCATCATTCAAATTCGAACTTTTTCTGTTGGCTGCAAACACAAAAGTGTTAACTATGGCATGGAGGTAAGTAGTGAGATGAGAGAAAGTATAAATGGAAGTAGAGTCAGGTAAACTACGTAGTTTGCCACCTTTCTCATGGAAAATGTGATAGATGAGTGGAATAGAAAGAAAGAGAGTGAATGAGTGAATAATACGTGAGAGTGAAAATGTTAAGCACGAGTCGCATGCCTCAGTGCGCTTACAGTGAATCAATTGCCTCACTGATTATCTCGAAGAAGCAGTTGTTTCTTCCGGATATATTTATCAATTTGAAAAGCGAATCAAAAGAAGGAATATATAGGCCTTATTGTGCATACATTTGTCTCTGACAGATGCGCAAAGCGTGGACTGACTGTGACACTAAACACTTTCCTAAAGTCTTACTCTAGATCAACATAAAACACTCGGCTGAAAATTGAACTCACTATTCCACAAAACTCGAAACAGTATGACAACACACGGTCCAAAGCGCTAGCAGAGTTCAAGAACGCCGAAATAAACGACTTGGCAGTGGCTGTGGTCCCCAGAAATGACGCAGCGAACAATTCAGGTAAAGACGAGACGTCGACGTGCAACTGCTGTACCGGATAGTCTCTCCCCATGACTGCAGATTCGACGAAGCAACTATAATATTTGCTGGCTCACTGTTTTCATAGGTTCTCACTTCGTGGGTTTTGATTGTACCATCACTTGTAAATAAAGCACATTTCTTTCGCTACTACCTACTAAAGGAAGTGTCCTTTTAGATAGTCCAAGTGCCCACCCTCTCGCCATTTGCAGTGCTGTAGAATAAGGGCGAATTACCTCGTGAGCAGAACAGACTTCACTGTTAAATTATAAAAGGAATGACAGAGAATTAACGAGCAGATGTCTAATGTGTATCGTAATTATCACATCCCATTAATACGAGTGTCATTAAAAAAATAAGGGTTGTTTAGTCCACCGAAAATAAATATTCGCAATTAAAAGTTTGTGTTGATAGGTTTAGCTTAATATAACTCTAGTTCACTTTTCTAGATAATCACCATAAACTTCTCAGCACATTTCGTACCACTGCATCCGTTTGTTTAGTCTCTGCATAAGTTCACCGTCTGGGAATTTCCGGTTGTTAGAGTTGAACGGTAAGCATTTTTAGTACCCAGCTTGCATACACTTTGCGAATATTGAGCTTTTCTGTAACAATATTGCAAATTATAGATCGTCCAACAAAAATATATCTATCTGACAGACTACAAACTGTCACTCGTCGCTCTAGTCGCAGTTCTCTGCCCATTTGTTCATTTGTTGTGGTCTTGATGGTGAGCCTGCCACTCCAAACTTTGTCGTGCAAATCGTGCGGCCATTTGGGAAGTATCGGTACCACTTTGAGGCTTTTGCTTCGAATCACTGTAGGTCTGTAACGTACAATTCTCTGTGTATACGAGATGGTCATGATAATTTCGCCCGCGAAAATTGAATTGCAGCTCACACTTCCGAAATGGCACGAGCAATGATTTATGCAGACAGTTTCATCTGCGTTGCCTGTGAAGCAGTAGACTACAGAGCTAGAACAATCCCTTCCTCACCTTACTGAAGAATGAACAGATAGCCCTGCACAAATAAATTATTAGTCTGACACGTAAATCTTGAAGTATTACTAAATGGTCCTTACTAATTGAATCACGCTCGCATGTTATAGTGGAGCAAAGTACACAGAAGAACAAAGATAGTACGATGCAATGGAGCAATGGCAAAAAAAAAAAGGTCGCAGAACTGTCTCTGAATGAAAACCAGGAGAAAGACTGTCTGTACAATAAATTTCCTTAGTGTTACCACAGCGACCTGCGGCGTAAGCATGTTTAGCGATTGTGAGAGCGTGCAAACAGCAATTGCATGATTAGGTGCCATTTGTAGCACGACGGGATATATACAAGACATACTTGCATATCATATTGCATAGTTAAATGTACTGTCAATACATCGCTTGTAGTAGCAATGGCGGTGCCAGTTAAACACCATGCAGGTTGTTCTGGACTAGCTTAAGTCGCCGTCTATCACACAGAGTAAGCTTAAGAGAAAAAAAAACTGAGCGTATGACTAGTTGAGCACTCACATAATAATAATAATAATAATAATAATAATAATAATAATAATAATAATAATAATAATAATAATAATAATAATAATAATAATAATAATAATAATAATAATAATAATAATAATAATAATAATAATAATAATAATAATAATAATAATAAGTATTGATGTGTTTTCCAGAGCCAAAACCAAGGTATGAATATGAGGCACGCCGTTTCGGCGGACTCTGGATAAATGTTAACCGACTGCCAGGTTGTTTAACATGCAACTTATTCTAACCACCACACTGATTTTCTTTGCCCGCCGCGGTGGTATAATGGTTACGGTACTCAGCTGACCGCCTACAGGTCGCGGAATCGAATCTCAACCGCACTTTCGTTAGATGTGAACATGCGGCCGCTGTCAGTGTACTTAGATTTAGGAGCACGTTAAAGAACCCAGGTGGCGCAAATTTCGAGAGCCATCCTCTACGGCGTCTCCATAACACCATCGTGGTTTTGGGATGATAAACCTTATCAAAATAACAGATGTTGAAAGCGAGGCGTATACTGAATCTGAAGCTAAAGTTTTGAGTGTCATTAATGATAAACTGAATCTGAGCCTTAACAGCGATAGCATTATAGGCGCTCAACAGACTCGGTCGGTTTATGAAAATGAAAACACTGCCGATCATTATCAAATTTGTTGCATACAAGCAAAAAGAAGCGGTTCTTGCTAAGTGTTCCTTGCTTAAAAATAGTGGCTTTGCTCTCAGTGAGGATTTCTGCCCCGCCACGCGCGAAATTCAAAAAAACGTTAAGAGAGCATGCCAAAAGCCTGCCTAAGCCATATAAACTTGGGTACAAAAAACTGCATGTTGGCGGTAAATTCTTTGGCTACAATGACATAGATGACACCATTGTTGAGATCGGTATCTCGAAAGTTGCATCGAATTCGCATGGTACATCCTCTCGAGCACTCCGCTCTGGCCGCCTTCTTCAGCATAAAGATCGCTAGGGACACGGGAGGGGAAACGGTGCTACCCACTCGAGATTAGAATTTTCTATTTTATATACTAACATTCGTAGTATCTACCGCAAAAAGGATGAGTTATGTACAGTAATTAACGATATGAAAGCCGATCTCATCGCACTAACTGAAACGTGGCTTAGCAGCAAAATATCTAACACTGAATTGTTTCATTGTGAAAAAGGTATGTAGTCTACCGCAGTGACCGCTCTGACAGAGTGGGGGGTGAAGTTTTGCTGGCCGTGGACGAGCGCTTTGATTGCTACTGCATACCAACGATTTCAAACATTGAATCTGTGTGGTGCTGCTTGAATGTAAATTTCAAGAAAGTTATTGTTGGGGTCTGCTATCGCTCCCCATCAAGCGATGCGTCATTTTGTGATAGCTTGCACGACTGCCTAAATCAAGTGACGGTTCGTTATCCCAATGCACAACTCATACTAATGGGGGACTTCAACTACCCGAATATTGATTGGTTGCACGCATGCCCACTTACCAACCCACCGACAACTGAGGCCAACCAGTTTATCCCCACCTGCATGGATTTTGGTTTAACGCAAATCGTCACCTCACCCACACGTGTCACTCAAACTTCTTCTTCCCCTATAGACCTAGTACTAACGTCATCAGAGACTGTCACGTCACCCGTATTGCACATGCCTGGCCTGAGCGACCATAATATTTTGCATTTAACATTCGATTTGTCGCATGCACCATCAGTAAAACAGTCCAAGAACATCAGAGACTACAACAAGGGTAACTATCTAGCCATTAATAATGAACTGTGCTCTTTTTTAGACATTTTCTTACCAGGTTATCTTGGGCGCTCAGTAGAAACTAGTTTGTGTTTGTTCCGTAATAAAGTGTCTGAACTAATTCATCTCCATATCCCTCTTCGCCGGGTGTACTCCAATAACCAAGCTCCATGGTATAACAGATACTTAAACCGACTTTCTAACAGGAAAAAAAAAAGACTTTTTAGAATCGCTAAGTATTCACTTAAACCGGCCAACTGGACAAAGTACAAGACAGCCTCTTTAGCATATTCGCGAGTGCTAAAGGACACTAAATCTTCGTTCTTCAATGTAACCCTGCCGAATATCCTGAAGACTAACCCTAAACGTTTTTGGAGTATAATGAAGCCACTTAGCACCAGTAAAGTATCATTGGTTACACCCACTGGCGATCCTGTTCCCGACCATCTTTGTTCTACTGTGCTAAATGATACATTCGTTAAGTCGTTTTCTTCATCTAATTATACCCAACGTCCTGAGCTTCAGTCATACAATCATTTTGCGATGGATCCCATCACGTTTGACTCGCATGGCATCTTCACGATTATCGACAACCTGAAACTAACGTCTGCTGACGGAATTGATGGAATTAATAGTAAATTTTTAAAGAATACCAAAGAATACAGTTCCATCATCCTTAAATGCATATTTTCACAATCGTATCATGATGGCGTACTACCTGAAGGCTGGAGAACTGCTGCGATTATTCCAGTACATAAAGGCGGTGATAAACATAGTCCATCTAACTATCGTCCTATATCTCTCACATGTGTACCATTAAAATAATGCAACATATAATATTTTCTCATCTTGTTAATTTTTTAGAGGATAATAGCTTCTTGTCTTCAAATCAGCATGGCTTTCGAAAGATTTTTTCTTGTGATACTGAACTAATTTCTTTTACTAATGATTTGCATTTATCTTTGAACTCTACTTCTTTAACTGACTGTATATTTGTTGACTTTGCTAAAGAGTTTGGTAAAGTTAACCATTCCCTGCTCTTATATAAACCAAGTGTTCCGAAAATTGACCCTGCAGTTTTTGTAACTGGTTTCGTGCATTCCTTTCTTCTCGTGTTCAATTTGTCAGCACTAACGATGTTAATTCTTCCACTGCACCGGTTGATTCTGGGGTTCCTCAAGGATCAGTACTTGGCCCCCTGTTATTCCTAATCTATATAAAGGACTTACCTTCTACTATTACTTCCAAAATTTGTTGTTCGCTGACTACTGTGTGATTTACCGCAAAATATCTAATGACAATGATATTCATTCTCTGCAGGCTGATCTCAATAACATACTTCATTGGTGTCATATTTGGAAAATGGAACTAAACATTCAAAAATTCAAGTCTATGAGGATTTCTCGGTCGAGTACAACTTGTCCAACTTATTTTCTTCACAGTCACCCCCTCGAAACTGTAACATCTTACCAGTACCTCAGCGTCCACATAACCAACACTTTGTCCTGGAAATCACATACAGAACATATAGCGTCCAAAGCTAATAAAACACTGGGTTACCTTCGAAGAAACTTCTTTCTTGCTCCATCGTCACTAAAGTTATTACTATATACCACATACGTCCGTCCTCAAATGGAATACGCTTCATCTGTTTGGGACTCCGGTCAGGTAACATTATCACACATGTTGGAATCCATTCAAAATCGTGCACCTCGTTTCATTTTGGCTAACTACCATCGTTCAGCTAGTGTCACTAAAATGATGGCATCTCTAAACCTCATCCCACTAGTTACCCGCCGAAAGCGCACTCGCATTTGCCTGTTTCATAAAATATTCTATCATAATCCGAAACTCCGTTCCCGTTTAATCCAAGCTGCTCCCTTCAT